GGCTCTGTTAATTCAACACATTAAATTCTGGCGGCAGCAGAGGCTCTGAAGCCTCCATCAGTGCTGCACTTAAACCCAGTACACAGCCTGACTTCCCTAAGCTCATGAGAACTTGCTGAAATATCAGCCATGGAGCCTAGGACAAATTACTTGATGTGGCAATGATGACCAAGCAGACAGCTTCCACCAGGTGATCCCATAGTCTCTCTCCTGAGGAGCAAATGCAGCCTAAGTGCTTCTAGAGCTGAGGAGCCTGAAACGCTCCTTTGTAATGAGCAGAGAACAGGAGGATCTCACCAGCATTCTGAGATCCAGGTTCAAACCACACTGGTAGCAGAGCTTGATGCTCTAGGACACAGAGACCATAACCTGGTCTCTTTCTTGCCATCTAAGTTTCCCTGTCTCCTTAGAGGGACATCTCTGCCCTCACAAATTATGGGATGGTCTGTAGGGACCATCTCCAAAATGCTCAGCCTTATCCACCAATGGATCATAAGATTCCCATGAGGCAGGACTCGAGCTATTTAAACTATTTTACTCTCTAACTAGGTGAAACTTCAGAGATTATTTTTACAGTGCTGTATTTTGTACCTTTCTTTGCAAAGCTGTGGACTATGAGCTCGTGGATTTGGCTACTGTCAGGGGCCCCTGCCAGGCAACACACCTCAGGGCCTTTGAGGGCTGGAGCGGGCAGTCTGCCTGAGCAACGGCCTCCGGCCTCCACAGTCCTTGAGTGAGTGGGACCCAGAGAGGGCAGCTTCTGAAAAGCTGCCAAAGGGGCCAGTTTGAAAATAATCAGAACTATGCAAACTTTGTTCACATACTTTTAAAGCGTTAAATTGGATCTGTAACTATGACCTATTTTATTATTGTTGATAAAAGAGATTCTAGCTGCTGAAAACAGAAAAATCAAAAATATGGCAAACCTGGGTTTGAATCCTGGCTCTAGTATGGGTTAGCTTGGACAAATTATTCTATCTTTTGATGCACAGATTTCTTACCAACAGGGCTGTTGCAAGAATTAAAAAAATAAAATAAACAAAAGCACCCAGACTTAAGTCTAGCACACAGCAGGCACTCAAGAGACAGCAATTATTTTCATTATAATTAATTCATTTTAGTGCACCTTGAGTGAGGTCCAGTACTATCTCCTGGATATATTTCTAGTACCAAAGGTGATACATGACTGAATTTAAACCAAATTATTTCCATCTGATACCTCCAGCAGAGGTACTGTACTAAATTAAATATAATTTTATCTGCTCCACAGCAGATACTCCAATAAAAATGTGCTAAATGAATAAAAAATTATCATATAAAAACTGCATTCTATTTTTATTAATAAAAAATTCTCCATTGTAACCATTTTAAAGTATATAACTCAGTGGCATTAGCGTATTCACAATGTTGTGGAACAGCACCATTATCTAATGCCAGAAGATTTCCATAACCCCAGAAAACCTGCATCCATTAAACAGTCACTTCCCATTCCTCCCCTCTCCCCAGCCCTTGAAAAGCATTAATCTGTTTTCTGTCTGTATGGATTTGTCTATTCTGGACATTTCCTATAAATGGAATCATAAAATATGTAGCCTGATGCGTCTGGTTTGTCATGTTATAGCATGTGTCAGTACTTCATTTCTTTTTGTGGCTCATTAATATTTCCTTGTATAAATACAAAGGCATACCTCAGAGACATTGCGGGTTTGGTTCCTGCAATGAAGTACCGCAGTAAAGTGAGTATCTCAATAAAGTGAGTCACATGAATTTTTGGTTTCTCAGTATACATAAAAATTATATTTAGCCCTGGCTGGTGTGGCTCAGTGGATTGAGCAGCCTGTGAATCGAGAGGTCATTGGTTTGCTTTCCGGTTGTGGCACATGCCTGGTTGGGGCACATGCCTGGTCAGGGGCATGTGAGAGGCAACTGACCGATATTTCTCTCCTTTTCTTCCTTTCTCCCTTCAAAAATTTTCTCTCTCTCAAAAATTTTTTTTTAAAGTTATGTTTCTACTACATTATAATCAATTAAGTATAAAATATCATTATGTCTAAAAAAAGTACATACCTTAATTTAAAAACTTTATTGCTAAATAATGCTAACCATCACCTAAGCCTTCAGCAAATTGATCTTTTTGCTTTTAAACAGTCTTACCTTTAATTTGGGAAAAAAAGCAATACCTGTGAAGTGCAATAAAATGAGGTCTGCCTGCACCACATTTATCTATTCATCAGTTGACGGATAGTGGGTTGTTGCCACTTTTGGTTATAATGAATAATGTTGCCAAGAACTTTTGTGTACAAGTTTTTGTATGAACATATGTTTTCAGCTCTCTTGGGTATATACCTAAGGGCGGAATTACTGGGTCATAGGTAGCTCTGCTTCATGTTTTAAGAGACTGCCAGACTGTTTTCCAAAGCAGCTGCACCATTTAACATTTCCACCAGCAATGTATGAGGGTTGTAAGTTCTCCATGTCCCCACCAACACTTACCTTTCATTGTTAAAAATTAACACAATACTCAAGTAGTTCTTCTGTGCATAGCTCACCTTCTAAGCCCAGTAGGGCATGGAGGAGAGGTAGGGGGGTGCAGGGTGTGGAAGCTGCAAGCAAGTAGGCTCTTTACTCATTGACTCCTTTCTCCTGAATAATGGATTTTAAATCTGTATGTACTTATTTGATTTTTTCTCCATAAAACTTCAACTAAGCTGCTGGTTTCTTCCATGCAATATTGTATACTCAATTGTTTATAGAAGCTGGTGAGCATGCCTTCCTCCTACATAAGCATATGCAAAATTTAAAAAATTTAAATGGTCTCAATTCTATTCTGTAAATGGAGAAACAATCATATCTTTCTAAGCAGTAACGGAGGAAAACTAGTGCTTTGTGTATTTTGATATATTTGAGTTCATTTCTTTCCACAATGTAATACTTCTGATACAGTTGGGTTTCTCATATTATCCTAGTTCATGTACATCAGAATACTAAATAATAGCCTCTGAGTTTTATGTTGCAAGAACAAATGAAATGAGCTTGAATTGTGCTTGTTGGCAGCATGAGCCTCAGCAATCATTTATCTTTTTCCCATCCTACGACTCTTTACCTTCTAAGTAAAATCAGAGTAGTAATAATAATGCCTCCCTCAGATGGCCGCTGGGAGGACCTAATGTAATAACCTCTATAAAGTCTTAATACACAGTAGGTAGTCAATGTTTATCTCCTTCCTTTTTTCACTTAAGAGTACACTAGACAATTTGTAAGCTCAGGAAACATACTCTCCTGCCTTAGGGTGTCAAGACAGAGGACTTTACAATAACAAACTCTGGAAGTGAAACATTAAATAGATGTGCAGTACGTATGATTTGCCAATTATTCTTCCTTTAACATTAGCCAAGGTTCCGTCTCTATGTTTAACAGAGGTACTAAAACCAAGCATTTGTCTCTCGACAACAAGATGTGTAAGAAGCCACTGGCAGTGTCCAATGGGCACACTTAACTAAAAAGGCCCACAATGGACCACATGAGTTCTGCTTGCCAAACTTTCCCCTGTCCCCCCTCCCTCGAAACATACACACTAGACAATGTCTAAGCTATAACCTACGGCACGCTTAGTTATAAACTTGGGCTGGGTTTTTATAGTCATCTTATGTAGTGGTTAAGTTGTATCCTCCAAAAACATATGTTCAAGTCTTAATGCCTGGTATCTGTGAATGTGACCTTATTTAAAAACAGGATCTTTACAGATGCAATCAAGTTAAATGAGGCCATACTACATCAGGGTGGGCCCTAAATCCAATGACAAGGGTCCTTATAGGGAGATACAGAAGGACCCAGAAGCACAGACACATACAGAGGGAAGATGAATATGTGAAGCATGAGGCAGATTGGGAGTGACACAGCTCAAGCCGAAGAATGCCAAGGATAACCAGCAGTGACCGGGCGCTAGGAAAAAGCAAAGAAAGGTTCTTCTCTGGAGACTTCAGAGGGACCATGGACCTGATAACACCTTGATTTCAGACTTACAGTCTCCCAAACTATGATTGAATATGTTTCTGCTGTTTTAAGCCACACAGTTTGTGAGAATTTGTCATGGCTGCCCTAGGAAACTAATATACTATATGACATTTTTGCCTAAAACTGAGCCACTCTGTTTAGTCAAGATGTCAAGAGTGTAACAAAAACATTATAGACTCTATAGTATGTTTTAGTAATCTCAAGTCTTTCTTGTGTCTGCCTCATTTGTGAGTATCTCCTTTCTACCATCTTTACATCCAGGGCTATTGTACCAGAGAGTGGTACTGTGGCTCTCCCAAAGTCTCACTACCACTGAGTGGGCGTGGGTAGATTACAATGAGGCATCAGGTGGCCCAGAGGTTAGAGCAAGTTGTTGGAGAGGTTAAGGCCCTGGATCCATGCCCTGTTCAGAACACGCTCTGCTTCTAGCCAGCATTTCACAAGTGTGCCAGGTCAGGGAGGAGGTGGGTCAGGGCACACCAGCACTGGGCCTAGAAGGCCACTTGTGCTCTTCTCAGCTGCGTTCCAATAAGATATAAATCCCCAAATGCCTAAGAAAACACTAAAAGGGCTTTGTGGTTACATTAAAACAAGAGGATCATTTATTTATTTATTTATTTATTTATTTATTTATTTATTTAGAGGCCGTTAAAGCCAATACCGAACAGTTATATCAGTGTCTACATCAAATTGGGAAGGTCATTTTTCTAGATTATCTCAATAGGCCATGGTTAGTCAAGCACAGGACACAACTGTAATTAATTACTTGTTAAATAAATGTCTTCCCTTCCATGGGGCAGGGGCTGAGTCTTTGTGTTTAGGGCTGTATCCCAGGGTCTGGTCAGTGCCTGGCCTGCAGAAGGTCCCTAATAACTATTGCCAAGTGAATGAAAAAATAAATGGAAGGAAGGGAGGGGGAGCAAGCTTGTCCCCCTGGCCCAAGAGTTCCTGCGTCTTCAACAGTAATGGGCACAGGGCATACTCACTGTCGAAGAGGATGATCCGGCCATCACCACCACAGGGCTGAGTGTGATCCCCGAAGCAGACACTGTTGCACTCGGTACTGGCTGCCTCCCCATACTTCCAGTAATCAGGATTGTTTCCACAGAAGCAAGCATAGCCTGACTCCATCCCAGCAAACTGCCACAACAGAGAAGCAGTACTTGGTAAGTGTCAATGACAGATGTCAAGTGACCTGAAGGAGCCTGGCAAAGTTGGCCCCCGGCAAGCAACCAGCCTCTTCTTCTCAGCCTACCTTCCCCTTGGGACCTCTCCCTTGTTCCATTCTTGTAACACTTCATTACACACTGATCAGTAATTATGTATTACCACCATGTTTCCCTGTCAGTGAGCATGCCTTTAAATGTTTGTCATTTTACTGAATTTACCCAGGCTGGTGTAGCTCAATGAATTCAGTGACAGCTTGTGAAACAAAAGGTCACTGGTTTGATTCCCAGTCAGGGCACATGCCTGGGTTGTGGCCTAGGTTCCCAACTAGGGGTGTGCCGGAGGCAACCAATCGATGTATCTCTTGTACATTGATGTTTTTCTCTCTCTCTCTTTCTCCATTCCCTTCTCTCTAAAATTAAATAAATCAAATCTTTTTAAAAAGTGTTTGCAGTTCTACTGAATTCAAGTAAGTTTTAAGGGGAGAATCCCAAAAGCTTGAAACAGCAATGATAAAACAGCTAACCATTTTACTGAATTGTTACTAGGCGCCAGGTAGTAAGTTCCTTAGAGCTAGTCCCCCCAGCAAACTCATTATAGGCCCCACTTAAATTTTTATTTTATTTTTTTTATATTACCATTCAGTAAAACTATTTATATGGTGTACAGTTCTGTGAATTTTATCCCAGGTACAGATTTGTGCGACCACTCCTGCAATCAGGATACAGAACAGGTGCATCACCCCAAAACCTTTGCATGATATTACTTTACAGTTTCCCCTCCTACAACTCCTGGCAACCATGGATGACTTTTCTATTCCTACAGTTTCTTCTTTTCAAAAATGTCATATGCTATAGACTGAATGTCTGAGTTCTTCTCCCCCACCAAATTCCTATGTTGAAAGCTGATTCCTGAAGTGGTAGTATGTGGAGGCGGGTGTTTGGGAGGTGATTGGGTCATGAAGGCAAAGCCCTCATGAATGGATTAGTGCTTTTACAAAAAAGACCCTAGAGATCTCCCCTGCCCCTCCTGCCACGTGAAGACACAGTGAGAATATGGCCATCTGTGAACAAGGAAACAAGTTCTCATCAGACACCAAATCTGCCAATGCCTTGATCTTGGACTTCTCAGCCTACAGACGAATGATACTGAGTATCTTTTCATGTACTTATTGGCCACTTGAATATCTTCTATGGAGAAATGTCTATTCAAATCCTTTGCTCATTTTTTAGTTAGGTTGCTTGTTTCCTATTGTCACATTGTAAGAATTCTTTATACATTCTAGGCATTAGATCCTTATTCAGATATATGATTTGCAAATACTTTCTTCCATTCTGTGAGCTTTCTTAATAGTGTTCCTGACACAAAAAAGTTTTAAATTTTGATGAAGTCAAATCTATTTTTTCTTTGTTTCTGCTTTTGGTATCATAACTATAAAACCATTGCCTAATCCGAGGTCATGCATATTTATACCTATGCTTCTCTCTAAGAACTTCATGGTTTTGGCTATTACATTTAGATCTTTGATCTATTTTTAGTTAATTCTTATATATGATGTGAAGTAGGAGGTCCAAAGTCATTCTTTTGGATATCCACTTGTCCCAGCATCATTTGTTGAAAAAACTATTCTTTCCCCACTAAATGCTATGGCACCCTTGTCAAAAATCAGTTGACCTTAAATAAATGTATGTATTAATTTCTTAATTCTAAATTCTATTAATCTGTATGTCCATCTTTATGCCAGTACCATAGCTCTTTTTTTTTCGGTACAACTTAAGGTTAATTTTGTCTATGGTGTGTTGTAAGGATAAAGGTTCATTCCCCGCCCCCCCCATAAATAGCTCCAGTTTTTCTTCAGAATCTTTGCTGAAAGACTATTCTTTCTCCCACTGAATTATCTTGGCATCTTTGTTGAAAACCAATTGTCCATATAAGTGCAGGTCTATTTTTTGGACTCTATTCAGTTCCATTGATATATAGCAGAGATTGGAAAAGTTTTTCTATGAAAGATCAGATAGTACAGCAAGTATTTTCAGCTTTGTGCACCATATGGTCTTTTCTCAACTTCTTTGCTGTAATAGAATGAAAGCAGGTGTGCACTGTACGTAGATCAATGAGTGTGACTGTTTCAATAAAACTTTATATACAGAAATAGGTGGGTGGTAGGGTTTGGCCCATATATCATTGTTTGGTGACTCCTGACCTATGGAATTATTCTTTTGCCAATACCACTTTCTTGATTACCATATCTTTATAGAAAGATCAGGCATGGTCAGCCCTCCAAAGCTGATGTTTTTCAAAATTATTTTGGTTATTGTTAAGTTCTTTGCTTTTCCATATAAATTATAGGATCAGCTTCTCAATTTTTTCAAAAAAGAAGTTCTGATTTTGGTTGGGATTTTATCGAATATATAGATCAACTGGGGAGAACTGACATTTTAACAATATTGAGCCTCCCAATCTATGAATGATGTCAGTATCTCCATTTATTTAGGTCATTTAAAATCTTCCTTTTTCAATGTTACATAGTATACAGTGTATAAGACTAATATCTTTTGTTATACTTATTTTGTTATTCATGTTATTGTAAATGGAATTTTAAATTTTGTTTTAAAATTTTAAGTTAATTTTTGGGAGGGAATCAGGATGGCGGAGGAGTGAGCAGAAGTCACACTGACCTCCTCCCAGGACCAACCTGGATTACAATCAAATTGTGGAGAAATCACCTGGAACAAACAACTGAACAATAGCGAGAGAGGAGCCTTGTAACTCTGGAGACAGAAGAATTGGCTTTAGCACAATCTAACTGGTAAGGAGTGCAGTAGAGATTCAAGAAGGTGGGTGCTGTGCCCACAGGTGGCAGCACCAGAAGGATACTGAAATGGCCAGTTGGATCCCCCTGAGAAGAGCAGGGTCTAAATCAAAAGCAGGAATCTGTAGTCCACGGCACCAGAGCCCAAAAGTACACAGAAAACAGCCAGCTGTGAAAAGCAGCAGGGTTGCTCTCTGCCAGAGACAGGCGGCTGGAGACTCAAAGAACTGTTTAAAGGGCCAACGCATTAATTTTTATTTGCAGCCACTTACCCTGGTCTCTGGCAAAGGCAGGGCAGAGTGGGCTAGAGACACCTGAGAAGACACTGGGGAAGGAGGCCTTGGGGAGAAAACTGAGAGAGTAGCCGGCGGGGTCTTGGTGCTGACTCATCCCCCATGAAGCAGCAGCCATCTTGGTCAGGCAGAGACCACACCTCCTGAGTGGCACCAGCATCAAAGGACCCAGTAGCCCCACCCCCAGATGGTATTCCACCCTGCCCTATGCTGTCTAAGCCGCCTGCTGAGTGCAGAGTGGCAGCCACAAATAGTTGATCCCTCGCTAAAGGGGGCACACAGAGGTCAGGAGACACTTGAGGAGAGATTGGAGACAGAGGCTTTGGGGAGAGAATGGAGAGAGTAGCTGGCGGGATCCCAGTGCTGACTCCTCCCCCAGGCTGCAGCTAGAGAGGACCCAATGACCACTCCCCCAGGAGGGACTCTGCCACACCCGGAGCTGTCTAAGGCGCCCTGCTGAGTGCAGAGTGAATAGATTAACAGCTGAAGGAGACAGCCACAAACAGTAGATTACTGGAAGTCTTGAACAGATTGCCTAAGGTCAGACAGGGTCAACATCTGACATCAGAGGCAGATCCAGAAAGTAAAAATAGCAGTCTCCTACCATAGATGTTCATACCACAAGGTCAGGAAATCAAGACAGATGAACTTAAGAATCAGAAGCAAAGGAGAAGAGCCTCACAAATAATGGAAAGACAAAGAAATATGTCCCACTCAAAGGAAAAGGAGGAATCCTCAGAAAGAGAATTAAGTGAAATAGAGGCAAGTAAACTACCAGATATTGAGTTCCAAACAACAGTTCTAAGGAAGCTCAATGAGCCCAGTGAGCTCAGAGAGAATTACCAAAAATTACAGGGAAACTATGAGGAACTTACTGCAAACTATATCGGCATGAAAAAGGACATAGAAACTATCAACAAGAGACAAGAGGAAATGAAGAATACAATTTCAGAATTGAAGAACACAGTAGAAGGAATCAAAAGCAGGCTAGATGAAGCTGAGGACTGAATCAGCGAGCTGGAGGACAAGGTAGAAAAAAGCTCCTGGAAAGAGCAAGAAAATGAAAAAAAGACTCAAAAAGAATGAAGAGGCATTGAGGGAAATGCAGGACAACCTGAAACATAATAATATCTGTATAATAGGGATACCAAAAGGAGAAGAGGATGAGGAAGGGATAGAGAACCTGTTTGAAAAAGTAATGACGGAAAACTTCCCTAATTGGAGGAGAGAAAAAGTCACACAAGTCCAGGAAGCACAGAGGGTGCCATTCAAGAAGAACCCAATGAGGCTCACTCCAAGACACATCATCATTAAAATGGCAAATAGCAAAGACAAGCAGAGAAATAAAGCAAGCAAGGGAGAAAGAGGTAGTAACATATAAGGGAGCCCCAATACGGCTAGCACCTGACTTCTCAATAGAAACACTGCATGGCAGAAGAGAATGGCAAGAAATATTCCAAGTAATGAAAAGCACAGGCCTGCAACCAAGACTGCTCTACTCAGCCAGGCTCTCACTTAAAATGGAAGGTGAAATAAGGAGTTTCCTAGACAAAAGGAGGCTAAGAGAATACACCTCCACCAAACCAGCACTGCAAAATATGCTGAAGGGACTGCTTTAAGATGAAGAAAAAGTTTCTATAACTACCCAGTTCCTTTCAGAGTTGCCAATACTTGATATTACCAATATTTTTAATACTCATTAATCTGATTGTGACAATGATGTTATTTTAATTGTTCCTTTACTATTTGTTGAAACTAAACCTGTTTTAGTATATTTCTTGCCTATTTCTATTATTTTTTTTAAAAAAGCTTTCAATGACTTTTTTGCATTCTTTATCCATTTATTGATTAAAGGTCTGTAGAACTTTTTTCCCTAAAACAAACAAACAAAAAAAATCCTATTAAGCATGTTTTGGATGTGTTGCAAATACTTTTATATTCTATTCCTTGTCTTTTAACTTTTTTATATGTATATTACTATATAGTTAAAGGTTTAATATAGCCATATTGTCAATATTTACTTTATAGCTTCTGGGGTTGAATATTTTACTTTAGGTCATGAAAAATATTAGTTCTATTTTTTTCTAAAACTCTTTAGATTCTACATATTGATTTTTAACCCACCTGAGTATTCCTTGTATACTGTGTGAAATAGGGTTCTATTTTTGTTTTATTTCAAGTAATAGTGGTCCATGCACCTTATCTGTTGAATAAGCCTCATTTTACCCATTGATTTGAAATATCAACTTAATCATATATTACATTGTCAGACAGATATATTCATTTGTCTCTAGAATGCTCATTATATTTCATTGATCTACTTGACTATTTCCATGAAGGTGTCATGTTGGTTTAATTGCTGAGACTCTATAGTAGTTTTAATTTTTTAAAAATATTTTATAATTAACTTTGACATTTAAAAAATAAATAAAGTCAATCTGCATTTAAGAAAGAAAGAAAGAAGAGAAAGATGAACTCCTATCTTTAGTGACAACGTGGATGGAACTGGAGAATATTAAGCTAAGTGAAATAAGCCAGTTGATCAAAGAAAAATAGCATATGATCTCACCTATAAGTGGAATCTATTCAACAAAATAAACTAACGAACACAATAAACCACAGGCACGGAGACATGGAGCAAACTGAAAGTGGGGTTAGGGAAAGAGGACAATGGTGGAAAGAAGGAGAAGGGACTAGACAAAGAACATGTATGAATGACCCATGGACACGGACAACAGAGTGGGAATTGACTGTGGGAGAGGGGGGCAGGGGTGGGATGGATGAAGGGGGGTAAAGAGGTAAAAACTGAAACAACTGTAATAGAATAAAGATGATTTATAAATTTAAAAAATAAAATAAAAATAATAAATAAAAATTAAAAAATTTTTTAAGTTAATTTTTATTTTTTAAACTAAAAAAGCAACTAATTTTTAACTTCATTCCTCATTCCTGTTCTCACTGATTTCCCACATGTAGTCCATATGCTCAGGAAGTCTTTGGGGGAAATTAAGGCTCTCTGAAGCTCTGAGACGGGTGATCATGTTAGTGATATCTGTCAACTGCCACAGAGGTTAGAAAATAAACTACCCAAAATAGTTATGGAAATACTGAAACAAAGCTTGGTTTTTCTCATATTCGAATTAATTTCTTCTGTTTGACCAGAAGAGGTTTTTGTATAACTGAAACCTCAGCGTGAACAAGCCTTTGGGAAGTCACTTCTCACACATTCCTTCCTCTTCACGAAGAGAGGGCTGGTTCAGTTATTGGACAAAGCCCCTTCCAGGGCTGAATTTCTCAATTTACTATAGTGTCTTAGCAGTGTGAAGTGTTAGAAAAGCAAAGACTTTTAGTTGATAGAGAGACAGTTGAGATATCATTGATAGAATTTTAGTTTTAGAAAAAGTTGGTTTGATTTCTAGCTTTATTATTATTAGGCATGTGAGCTTGGGCAAATCATTTAACCTTTGAGTATAGTTTTCTCACAAAATGAGGATATCAGGCTAAACAATTTCTTTGTTTCTAGCTAGTCCCAGAGTTCTATATTTCTGCACAGTTGAACTATTTTATCATGCTGCTCTGCTGGGGAATATGACTAATGTTTTTGAAGCTACTAATTTTATGTCAAGCTTTAAAGTAAGGTAAGTGTTATCTTATAAAAACATTATTTGATCTACAGTATGTCCAAATCAATTTAATAAAATCGCTTTATAACAGAAAACAAATTTAATTGTTCACTGCCAATATATAGAAGTGCAACTAATTTTTGTATATAACCTTATAACCTACAACCTTGCTAGATTTATTAGTTCTAGTAGGTTTTTCTTGATTCCTTAGAATTATCTGCATACATGATCACGTTGTCCATTAATAAAGAAAATCTTACTTCTTTCTTTACAGCCTATGTGCCTCTTATTTATTTTTCTTTCCTTATTTCATTGGCAAGGACCTCTAGTACGATATTGAATAGAAGAGGTGAGAGTTGGCATCATTGTTCCTTATCTCAGGTTGAAGGCACTAAACCTTTCATTATTGAATATGAATTTAGCTTTAGGGCTTTTTGTAAATGCTTTAAAAAAATATATTTATTTATTTATTTTTAGAGAAAGGAGAAGGGAGGGAAAAAGAGGAAAGAATCATCAGTGTGCAACTGGTTGCTTCTTGCACAATCCCAAATGGGGACCTGCCCTGCAACCCAGGTAGGCACCCTGATTGGGAATCAAACCAGCGACCTTTCTGTTCCTGGGTTGGTGCACAATGCACTAAACCACACCAGCCAGGAAAAAAATGCCTTTTTTTTTTTTTTTTTTTTAAGATTGTATTTACTTTTAGAGAGAGGGGAAGGGATAGAGAGGAGAGAAACATCAATGTACAAGAGATACATCTATTGGTTGCCTCTCACATGCCACAAACAGGGGACCTGGCCTGCAACCCAGGCATGTGCTCTGACCAGGAATTAAACAGGTGACCTTTCAGTTTGCAGGCCAGTGCTTAATCCACTGAGCCATACCAGCCAGGACCCTAGTTCTTTTTAATGGAGAACAGTGTTTATAAACCAAAATCTCAGTGCTAAGTGTGCTCTCTACAACCAGTGTATCACTGTTCCCAGGCCCTCATAATGGACAGAGCTAAGAAAAATACACATACACATTTTTATATTTATTTCTATATATCAAAAACTATGCACTTATGTACTATGCTAATAACTTCAATCCCTGTCCAACATTATAGGCTCTATTCCAGCTTTCCCTGGTTCCCTTCTTCAACAATGAGACACCTGGCTCCTGTTATACTCAATATATTTAGTTATATGATCAATTCTTTGCAAGCAACCAATCACTTGATCATGTTGGTCCAACTGCCTTGCTCAACCACCTTTCTAACACATGCCCTGAACTCTACCAGGCTATTCTCCTTGTTTGGGCCTGATTAATGGATTTTTGACTGAAGGAGGAAAGGAAAGAAAGAAGGGAGGGAGGGAGAACGGAGAAAGGAAGGACAGAAGGAAAGGAAACAAGTTAGTTTACTTCTTTTTTTGATATAACAAACAATAGCATTATTGAATTTTAATGACCAATGAATGAATTTCAGATAGATGAATGGATAGGAAGAGAAAACATTTTGAACTGGTGTCCAGGCTGGGCCCTTGAATGTGTCAAGGAAGTGATAACCTCTTTGGCTTATTCCCAGACCTCCCATAGAACCAGAGGTGTCCCTGCTCATAACATACAAGGGCACAAGGAAATACATAACTCTGTCAGAAGTCAGATATTGGGACTGTTCCCCTGATGTCCTTTTCTTTCAGTCGCCTGAATCTTAAGCCCCACCCTTCCTCCAACTTCTCTTTGGCAGAAAAATAAAGTTGTATGGCTTCATAGGTTGTGTTTCAAAAATGCAAATGTATTTTTTAAGTTACCTCAGCAGAATGCATTTACATCTTTATCTATTTCTATAGATACACAGTCCCAGAGCAATTACCTTGAACCTCTGACTCCGACAAAAACTGATGCAGGTTTGTATGGTAAGTTTGTTAGATGTTTTACTGGCGCCAGTTAGAGGAGGTGGGTTTCCATGATCCTTGTAGCAGCCAAGGTTTCCAGGCACTGGAGAAAAAAGAAAAACAAAAGAATTTCACAACATCTGGCTGTGAAACACCAAGCAGGAAGAGCATGTTGTGCCAGGTACTGTCATTCTTAGTCAATCTTTCCACTCCTAAGGCACAAATAAATAACAAGCAACGAGCTTTAAAAATGGAAGCCTTAGTGTCCTCTACTAAATGCCACGTTTTTGTTTTACTTTGAAGAGTATGTGAGGCTCATTTAACTAACCCTAAGAAATTTTTTACCTGTTCACTATTGATAGAATTTAGTATTGAAGAGGCCTAGGAACATGTTCCTAAAAATTGAAGCCACAACATGTAAATTGTTTCAGAGTCACTAGAGGGCAGGAAAATCCCTTGGAAGCCCGTCATTCTACCCTCTGTGCCTCCCCTTTTTCCTTGAAAAGCTCCACAGTGGGTTTCCCAAGGTCGTTTGGTAAGTGTATTAGTTTCCTATTACAACTAGAACAAATTACTAGTGGTGTAAGACAGCGTAAGTTCATTATCTTACAGTTTAAGAGGTCAGAAGTACTTGATGGGTCTTATGGGGCTAAAATTAAGGTGACAGCTGTTTTCCCTTCTGAAGGCTCAAAGGGAGAGTCTCATTTCTTGCCTTTTCCATCTCCTAAAAGCTGCTCCTACTCCTTGGCTTGTGGCTGCACCATTCTAGTCTCTGCTTCCATCATCGCACACCTTCTCTTGCTCCAATCCTCTGCCTCTCTGTTACAAAGACCTGTGTGATTATACTGGGCCTTACCTGGATAAATCAGGATAATCTCTCCACCTCAAAATCCTTAACTTAATTACACCTCCAAAGTCTCTGTAAGGGATTACACAGACACTTTTTTTGGTGTGTGGGGGATACATTTTTAGGCTTACCAAAGTAAACATGTTAGTGTTTCACAGTCACACAATCAGATGTTTTGGTCTAGTATAAAAGGCTATATCTGAGAATATAGAAACCTGAATATACGTACCAACTGTGGTAGACAGCTTTCAATGATGGCCCTTAATGATCCCCACCTCCCATGGGCATGCCCTTGTGTAATCCTCTCCTCTTGAGTGTGGGTTGGAGTAAATACTTGCTTTTGACCAAGAGAATGTGGCAAAGTCAATGGAATGCCACTTCCGTAATTAGGTTACAAGAGACTGTGACTTCTGTTTTGCTAATAGTAGACTCTCTCTAGTTCCTTCTTGGCTAGTATACTTTGATGAAGCAATAGGTCATGTGAGAGAGTCATGTGGCAAGGAACTGAGGATGGCTTTCAGTCAACAGTCAGCAGGAAATGGAGACTAAGTTTCTGCAAGACTGAGTTCTACCAATAATTATGGATGCTTGAAGGAAATCCTTCCCTAGTGGAGCCTTCAGATGTGACCCCAGACCTGGCTGACACCTTGACTGCAGCCTTAAGAGAGACCTGGAAGCAGAGGACCCAGATAGGCCACATGCAGATTTCCTGACCCACCAAAAGTGTGAGACAACAAATGTATGTTAAGTCACTACATTTTAGGGTAATGTGTTATACAGAAAGAGCTAACTAATATACCTATATAATACATACTAAACATAAGTTAATTGAATGAAAGAATGAATTTATTGTGGCCCATGGACAAATCAACCTCTCTGGACTTTAGTTTTCCATCTGTGTTATTAATTTATGAATTATTCTACTCTCAGATGAAGCCATTTCCCTCTTTTCTCTATTTGGTTCCTCACAGTTTATATAACTGAAGGTATAAGAAGACATGAATGAGGCATGGTCCTAGAAGCACTTCTAGGCCAGTTAAGAGTTACGTTATTCAACTCCAAAGTAAGCCATTTTGACTCTTGTGTTTAAGGCTGGAAAACAGCACGGTCCAATTTAATATAAAAGCTTTATATCCATATTAATCTTTTGACATATAAAAATATACACATGTATATGTGTGTATGAACACACACGCATTTTTAATTTCTGCCACCATCTGCATCTAACCAGCTCATTTTAAATTGGCAGGAAGTACCTCTCTGCTAACCCAAAGAGTCACCCTTCCCCCTCTAAGCCAAGTGGTTACCCTTCTCCCTTACGTCACACGTGGTTCAAATATAACAAATGTGGCTCACCACACAAATGCTAAAATGCATTTTTCGGAAACAAACCAAATCTCTATAGTAGCAAATGTAAACAGAAAAACTCTAGGCAGTAGGAGACTAGTGTTCATGGGGCCTGGCTTGGGAATGGCTGGGTTTCAGAATTTAAACAAATGCAGTGAGTTAAGCATCTCTAGTCAGGAGCGTAGCATATAAGCCAAGTTTGTTAAAGGGACGTTGCATATGGAAATGCAAGCCATATACTTAAGAGTTTTTAATGAGAACTACTTGATCATGATCATCTTGGTCATTCACTTTGATTTTTGTCTCATTTATTCCTTTATGCTCATTAGTAAGCATGTTATTAGGTATTAGTTTATAGAGAGCCCAAGGCACATAATCATAAATGTTAAGATTAGACATAAACAAGGCCATGGGCTGCATTAATGCAGCTGGAATCTATAAGCTTTATTCACAACAATTCAGGGCGCAAATGCAGGCAGCTCAGATTCCACTGGGGCAGTGAAGTCCCAAAACACTTTGTGAGGTAGATCACAGGAAATCCAGTCACACTGTGCTGCTGCTCTATCTATTTGAATATCAATGGCCTGAGGTACCATCCTTGCCATCCAAGTTAATCACTTGCCAGACACTGTCATTTGTACCTCCTAAAATATTGCAGACATATGTCCACGCCTCTCTTTCCATACTGCCACTTCCCCAGTTTAGAACATACGCTCCTCCCTCTTAGATTTGCTGCATTGGCCTCCTATTCCATCCCCATTTCTAGGATCACCTTAACTCTAATCGGATTAGCACACTGCAACCAGGACAGTTTCTATAGTACATTCCAGGCAGAAATAACCATGGGGGCAGAGGCCTGAGGCAAGAATGAATGACCTTGGCCTTTGCAGGAACAAAGAAGAGAGGACAACCAGTGACATAGAGATTGAAAAGCAACAGGAGCTGGAGAGGTATGCAGGGGCCCTGCTTAAAACCTTCAGAGATCCCTGGCTGCCCCTCAGGGTGAAGGCCAAACTCTCTCACGTGTTGCACCAGGCGCTGCCCCATCTGTGCTGCTCCACTTCCCCTTTCCCATCAGGGTGACTCTTCTATCCCGGGGCTCACACTCTCTACCGTAGGTCAAGGTAAATCACAGTGTCCCTGCAAGTTTCCCAACTGCACATTGTTCTCTGGCCTCTGGATTTTCTCACGTTATTCCCTCTGTTTGGAATATTTTCCCTACTTAAGATGGCAGCCTGAGCACCATTTCCCCTGGGAAGCCCCATGGCCCTCCCATCATACCGCGTCCAACTCCACACAGGTTATCTGCACCTGCTGTGTAGTCCTATAGCAGCCTATGCTGAACTTGATTCTACACACCTGTTTATGTGTCTCCCCCGCCAATTACCCACAAACCACTAAGGGTAGGACTGCATCTTTCACACAGCACTGTAGTCCCAGGGGCTGGCATGGCCCAGGTCACACGGTAGGTGCTGTAATGAACGACTGTTCTGCGTGCCAGTGAAAATCAGGAGTGGGTAAAGGTGCTTCTTAGGCAGCAGTAAATGAAAAGGGCAGAAGGAAAGGGAAAAGCAGAGCTGATGTGCAACAACGTTCACTTACAGACCTGCCTGCTCACTGTCCTCTCTGGCTATCCAGAAACGCCATTTTAGATAACTGAGTTTACCATAAAGGTTAACTTTAAAGCTTAAAGTTTTACCTTTATCATTTTGGATGAAACCTTTCTAAAGTGCATTAGCTATTTCTTAAAAAACACCCCCCCCCCCCAACAACAAAATTTCACTTAGTTTAACCTACTTGAAATTTTTCTTGGTGGTTTCAGGTTATCAAGCGTACTTCACCAAATGACCCCAGACTGGTGTGCTATTTTAAAGCTCTTGTGTCTGACTTTAGTATTTAATCTGTCTCCTCGGTTACTGTCACGGCTGCTGAGTTCTGAGAACATTTGAACCAGCAGGAGTCTTAGCACCTACTTCTTTCTACTGTCAGTGCCTGCAGTCTTCACTTGTCCTTTTTTTAATTTGCTGCTTCTTAGGCTTAGAACAAAACTATCGAGCTTGTTAGAATTGTGTGAAAAATAAGAATAAAGAGTTTCTAAAAGAAGGAGGACCTTTATGCTCCCCTCCTGCCATCCACATTATGGCTCAGGAGTTGTTTTTCCTTGCTCACTTCCCAGTATGTGGCACTGCTTTGAAGGGCACTGGTGCTTTCTTCATCTGCCCAGAAGCAGTCAGCAATGGTCACAAACCGGGGCTGTGGAGACAGACAAACCCTACGGTGAATTGTGGCCTCTCTGCCGCAGCTTTCCCAGGTCAGTGTTATCAACAGTGGAATGAGAAACAATACAGCCTCAAAGGAGAACAAAAAGAAGATAATGTAAATAAAGTAACCACCACAAGACCTAGCAAGATAGTATGTGCTGAATAAACAGTGTTTATTATCATTATTTGGAATAAGGCTTTTATCATTCACCACACAAACAGGAACAACATGCTTAGAAATAGAAATATAAAATAGTATTGAATGAAAGGACAAAAATCAAAGGCAGCCACCTCAGAAAACCGGCTTTGATTCCAGATAGTCAAATGTTAATCTCTTACATCTATCTGGCTAGCATACAACACACTTTCACGTAAGCATCTTGCATGAAACTCTCAGCCCTTTTAGGAAGGCAGGACAGACGATGGTATTGCAATGTGACAGAAGTCAGTTGCTATCTGACAAAGAAATCAGTTTAATGGGGTTAAGGGCCTTGTGTGGGGGTACACAAGCTGAAAATGGAGAGCAGAGAGAAGCTCTAGGGGTGCACATTCTCATGTCATGGTATTTTTTTTGTGTCCCTGGTCCCTTTTCCTAATAGGGCCAGTCTGGGGAGCCAAACGAAAATGACTCTGTGAGATTAAAGACAG